GTGGCCTTTGGGGAGCCAGCCTCCGCCCCCTTGTTCAGGGGCCTTTCCAGCTCACTTCCCTGGCTGCCAGGATGTGGTCCTTCCCACGAGTAAGACAAACCAGAAAGCATTTCAGGTGGAAGATGACACAATCATTGAGTGTCAAACAGCAACCTCCCTGACTACAGCAGAGAACTGTGCCAGATTGGTGGGGGGGCATTGGGAAGGACTAGTGGTCATTGGCAATTGGAGCCCCCAGATCACTGCAGGTAGGAGAGGAGACTGCTTATCTGGCCGTGTGTTAGGGAAAGATTGGCCCTGGGGTGTAGAAGACAAGCTTCGTCTTGGAAGAACTCAGAGTTGACAGACAGCACACCCCAAAGGCCAAAGCGGGTGCAAGTAGTGAGCCAAGACCAGGGAGACAATATAGGGGCGATGCAAGTCAGCTCCAGGTCTCAAAAGCACAGCTAACCCTTCACTACTCGGGTTCTGAATTAACCGAAAGGACAACAAGGGGTCAGAGTTTGTAAATGTCAACATGATGACATCTATCCGCTGGTGTTCCCGCCTTGCTGGCCGTACTGGCTGCCCCCGAAAGGTCAGGCCCCCGGCACCCACCCAGGGGAGACCAGTGGCCAGCTCACCCCTCTGTGGGCAGCTCGCCAGTGAGTGGCAGGGGTAGGCAGGGCTGCTCTCCGAGGAAGCCTCTACCTAGACAGTGGGCTGAGGGCCCCCGACCCCCTTCAGAAGGTGGGGAGGCGGCGAGACAAACTGCAGCAGCCTTCTAGTGGATGTGAAGCTGATGGCAGTTGGTAACTTTCAGGCGAACGTGGCGGATGGGTTTCCCCTGCTGTTGAAGACTCGCTTGGCCACATCTCGCGTGTGTGATCCAGAGCAAGGCCCGGCGCCACAGCGAGCCGCAAACCCGTTCTCTCTGCCCGCACCCCAACCTGCCTTTTCCATTGTTCCAGGGTCAGAAACCAAATCAAAAGGCGAAGGTGGTTTCCTAACAGGCAAGTTTATCTGAAATTCAGATTGGAGCATCCCCAGTGAGGTTCCCTTACATTGCAGCCCGGATGTAGTCTCATGTCGGCAGCCCCACACCCCAGGGGAGTGGAGAGGTGACCCCTGGGGTGCCGCTGACCAAGGGGAGGTAGGGGTCTGCGTTGTCTCCTGTAGGGTGACACCCAAGGCGCTGGCTCCGGGGTCTCCCTTTAAGTGTGAAAGGGGCTCAGGGAAGACCCCAAGCCGTGCTCTGAGGACTGCTTGAGAGAACCGGAGTCTGGCCCAGAGCAGAGGGGAGCCCCGCGGGAATGGGGGTGCCTTCAAAGTCTGCGTCTGTCACTCGATTTGAGTTCTCGGAGAAGTGGTCAGAGGGCCGGTGAAGTCCTTCGTGCGGCTACCAACCTCCAGCCAGGAATGTGGGTTCCAGTTCAGACTCAGATCTGCTTCCTCCAGGGTCAGTTTCTTTGCCCCAAAGATGAGGTGCCACCATGGACATGCTCACTCACCTGCCATGCGGACGGGGGCATGCTCTGCTGAGGGGCTGGTGTGAACCCCACCTGGGCCAACAGGTAGAATTTAGTCCCTGGGCCCAAATGTTCTGTGATTTTAAGGTCATCAACTGTGCCTCAGACCCCGTGGGCAGTGACCTTCCAGCTGTGGTTCTGATCGCACCGGTGTCTTGCTCCAAACCCGGGGCTCCCCGTGGCTTCGGTGAAACTGTTTCCTCCAGGGGCTGGTCCCAGCCTCTCCGACCCGGGACAGGGCAGACCCCCACACCTCCTCTGCTGACAGTGTCCCGTGCCTCTCCTCTGTGCTGCTTCGCTTTGGGGGTGCTCCCAGCGCCCGGGGGGCGAGGGGTTCTGTCTGTGGCTGGCGAGGGAGAGCCCACATGTGTCACCCCTGGGGGGGTGTCAGGAGGCAGGAAGCTCTTCCCAGCGCCAGCACATCCACTCCCCCATGGCTTGGGTTCGTGTGTTCCCGGCCACCCGTCAGTCAGCCGCCGAGAGCTGTGCTCACTCCGAAAGGAACCGCGTTCCAGGACACAGCCTGCCCGCTCCCGCTCCCCCTCCCCGGAGCTGTGCCCCATCCGTCCCCCCCGCAACTGCCCCAGCGCGTGACCACCCAGCCCCTCTCCTGCCCCCCAGGTGAGTCTCGTCCTCGGTGCCTGCTCGCTGAGCCTCGCCTGGCATGGGAGCCGGCAGACACGTGTGTCATGTGTTACATGCAGCGTTTGGCCCTTAAGCCTGTTGGCAGGTTGGTTTTACTCTGTCTTACCCCTCTGCTCCCCCGTCGTCGGGATTCAGCTGCCTTTTACCTCACGGCTCAGGACTCCTTTCCCCTCTCCGAGACCCGGTGGGTAGTTCTTGATCCGCCACCCTGGACACAGTGGGCCATAGACCGTAGGCCATAGACCGTTGGCGGTGTAGGTCAGCTGGCGATGGAGACGCACGAGGAGAGGCTGGAGTGTGCAGCTGTGAGTGAGGGACACCCTGGCCCGAGGGGGGTGGGCCCGGGTCAGGGTTCTGCTGGTGAGGCGGGTGTCTGCACCAGCAGCCCCCCCTCGGGGCAGCAGATGGACGGGCTTCCCTGGGAACCCCAATAACCACCGGGCTCCCGGCCCTTCGGGGTTGTTTAGTTTCGTTTTCAGGTTTGTTTTTTCTTCTCTTTGGGGTTTCCTGTTTGAATGATCTCAGCATCGGTACAATTTAGAGAACGGGAAAAAGAATTCTAAGTAGACTCTTACCACAAAGATCAGTGCTGTTTTTTTTTTTCCTTCAGTTTAGTCCGTGTTCTCTGCCTTATATAGCCTGAGAGGTCGCAGAGGGGACGTGGGCTCAGATGGGCCCGGGTGGACCTCGGGGGAGCCGGAGATGGCTCGGCCAGGCTTAGCTGCTGGTGAGAGCTAAAGCCTGGGTCTGCGGCTGTTTCTCTGGCGTGGACTGCGGGGAGGTCAGCCTGGCTTAGTCCACTTCCCCATGTAACAGAAACGCTTTGCCTGTAGCCTCAGTGCAGTCACCACCCAGGTGTGCAGCCCAAGTATCAGAAAGACCTGTCACTCTGTCTCTGGCAGTGGCGACGCCCAGGGCTCCTGGCCGGTCCACCCTGGCCTCTTCGCAGCCCTCACTTCCCGGCTGGCCTTCCTTTCCAGAACCTCCTCCACCCACACTCCCCCTGCCTTGACCTTTGCTCCAGCTCCTCCTTCTATTATGTAGGAAGGTTGAATCTGCATGTTGGAAGCTTCTCTCCCTTCTATAGTCCAGTCACATCTAGGCCAGGACCCTGTGGGCGGTGGGTCCAGGTCAGGGGATCTGCAGACGGTGAGTGGTCGCTGGCCCAGGAGTCCTGCACAGGCCCCAGCTGGGAAGTCCCTCAGCAGTATCTGGGGAAGAAAACGCTCCCGCCATCATGAAGCTGTGATCAGGGTTCAGTTTTCTCTGGCGCCTCATGTCAGGCCTTCGTTGACACACACCAGAGAAACACTATTCAAACTCTGCTTGCAGAGTCCTAGGTCCCCCTCCTGGTGCAGAGCTGGGGTGAGGACTCCCTCAGCCCAGAATCCAAAGGCAGGAGACCCAGCGGTCAGCCGCAGGGTCGGCCTGGCTTCCACCCTCGTGTTGCCAAGGTCAGGAGCAGGGCTACGGTGTTCGCCCTCTCTGTGCCGTGTGCCACCGGTGATTGGAGTGACAGCAACAGAAATAACCATAAGCATGCGCATTATGGGGTGCTGGCTATGGCAGTGCGTGTGTGTGTGTGTGTGTGTGTGTGTGTGTGTGGCGGGACTTTCCCAGCACCCCGGACGAGGCCGCTGGACTGGGCAGCTCTGCTATGATGCCTTTGATATTATGCAGCCACCCCGGTATGAGCCAGCAAGCATTGAGCACTTCCTGTATACATGCCGGCAGCCTGGGACTCAGGCCAGGGGGCTCCACCGTCCCCTGCTCCCCAAGCATTGACAGTTGAGAAGTCCCGCAGAACACAGCACGGCGTTGGGTCCCTGGCCAGAACTCCCATTTGATTGAATTGAACTTGGCTCTTTCCTTTTCCCTACTGTACTTCACTCTCCCCTCTGCCATAGAGGCCCTCCGCAGGCTATCTCATGTCCTCTAAACACCCCAGGGTGTCTGTGATCTGCTCAGGGTGGCTGATAGGGAGGGAGGGGCGCTCGTGGGAGGTCCGGGGCCCTCGACATGCTGTGTCGTGGGGCCACAGGGAAGGAAACGGCTCTCCCACCTGTGACTCATGGGTCCCGCCTCCTGCTTCCGCCGGTACCCCTCCAGCCCCCACGCCGCGCCCCTTGGCACCCACTCCAGCCTCCACAGAATGCTCTCTGGGCCTCTTGGTTTGCACTACTTGACCAAAAACTGGGGGTCTACTCGGTAGCGGAAGGCCAGGCGGCAGAATCAAGTTCCAGGTTTGCATGGGGAGAGGGCGTCAAGCTTGCTTGTTTATTTTCTGAGAAGTTGATCTGATCGCTCTTTCTTGAATTGCAGGCAGGTTTAATCGCGAGGATGAGGGCAGTGGGCTGGCAGAATGGGTGTGTGTGCGTGTGCCCACGGCGTGCGAGCAGGGGCTGGGGAGCGGCCTGGCACGGGACCCTGGTTCAGGATTCCCCGTCACCCCCAAGTTCCAGCCATATCTTAAGTGAGGGCAGCAGGTTGGGTGGAGTCTGACAGCTGAGAGCATGTGCCCAGAGGTAGCGTTCGCCAGACCCAGGGCAGCCACGCAGCCCTGCAGTCAGGACCCCCGACGCGCACCCCGGGAAGGGTGAGGGGCAGGGGGTTGGGGGTGTGTGAGTGAGTTTCTGCCATAGGGCCGACCACGTCCTGGGGGCCGGGGAGTGATGCAGCGTGGGTGCGGTGCTGGTAGGCAGTGTCATTTCAGAAGGCATCTTGGCAGGCTGTCAAAGCTGCAAGTGAGCAGTAGTCTCCCACCCCGGATTTCCTCCTCTTGAAGTCCTCTTAAAAGTCAGCACGCGTCCACAGACAGGCCCCTTGGAGAGAAGGAAGGTGTCAGCGATGTTGCCGAGCGTGGAGAATGTCCCTCACGGAGGCAACGGTTATGAGCATGGGTCTGTCTGCGTTCTGAAACGCCCCGCCGTTCATACAAAGGATGACCCAGGTCTGTCTGCAGGGATCTGACAAGCTCCCCCACCTGCAGTTGGGTGGGAAGTGGCTATGAACAGGCCATGGCCGCAAAATCATGTTCACATTCCAGTTTTCTAGGAAATGGTTATGGTTATAAAGTTATGGACCACTAGGCAAACCTGTAATTCTTTCTGGAATTTAAGGACCTTACAGAAAGTACCTGTACATGTTACAGTTTTCAAAGATAAAAAATTAGACTGAATGAACTGAAGTCCAAATGATAGATGAAAAGGAAGTTTTTCAACAGTTCATAATTCTACTTTACTAAATTTGTATATGGGAGCAACTGAGCAGCCAACCTGTTGTCCTTAGAAGATTAAGTACCTTTTTTGGAAAAATCCCAACAAATAATATGTATGTTTCTACCTGCAGGTAACTTTTTTTATTGCCTTATTTGCTGCTAAATTCTTTCTTTATCAAGCGTATAAGCACATAGCAGACATCCATATGATCCAGATGTCAAGAGCGTTTATTCCAAGTGGGGAAGCTCTTACCCAGTGGATGCCAGAATTTTACTAAACCAATGCATGACCCACCGTGCAGGAAAGAGTTTCTCGATGGGCTGGGCGTCTTGGCCACAGTTGAGAAGCGTCTTCCTCATTTGTCCATCAGCGTTTCGCACTCTCGACATACTGTCCTCAGAATCTGCTGTGTGTGCTAAAATCCAGCAAAGCCCCATGTGAGCTGTCCGTGTCTGTTGCTTTTCTCCGTTGTCAGATACAGATCTGAGCGTCTGCACCAAGCAGCAGCCCAACCCCCACCATGCCCTTCTTTCAAGGTGTCCCCTCCCTGGAGAGGATGTCTCTCCACCTGTTGTTTGAGTCTCTGGTTTTGTGTGTCGAGGTTTGGGCCTGGGATGACGTAAGGATATCAAAGTGGGAAGACGTGGAAGGTGGGGTGTTGCAGGGGGGCCCTGGGGTGACGGCCTCTGTGGTGCTGGGCACCCAGCAAGATCCCCGCATCTGTCTCGAATTCGGTAGTTAGCCCAACGTAGGGCCACCTGGCGGCACCATCCAATTTCCCTGTGTCTTTCCCCAGTGAGGTCAGTCTTTCCCCCTAATTTACAGGCAAGACAACTGGGCTCAGAGGAGTGAGCTCCCCACACAGCTCCATGAGCAGGAGAAGCAAGTTCTGCAGTCAGGTCTAAGGGGTCCTGAAGCCCGAATTCTTGACCTTCACTATTCCTCATGCAAGGGACAAAGATGTTCTTGAGAAGATTTGGTTTTTAGTTTTCACGCTTTTAAAACATTTCTGTAAATCAACCGTAGATACTTTGCAGTCATCCATTGTAGCGTTTGTTTTCCTCCTAAGCAACAGACTTAGGTAATCATGATATTTCCTTTTTATTAGATTTTTAAAATGTCGATGGTGGTAATGTTGACAACACTGGGTGTGTTTGGGGATATAGGGTCACCTCCTTATTGTTGAACTTTATAGGAAATGTCGATGGTGGTAATCTTGACTTATAACACTGGGTGTGTTTGGGGATATAGGGTCACCTCTTTATTGTTGAACTTTATAGGAAATGACCAAGTTCACTCCTGGACACTCGTCCCCAGCCAAGCCGTAGAGGCTGTGTGGAGGATGGCCAGGGGGTCAGTGATGCTGGCCGTTTCGTGTCTGCTGGCCGCCCTCTGCTACATCCGAAGGCTGCAGGTGCACATCAGCCACCGACTGAAATGGTAAGTGATCAGCTCTCCTTTAAATGCTGGAAATACCTGCTCGGCACAGTGGAATTTTGATATCGCCCCTTTGTCTTTTAGGTGGGTTGGATATCTGCAACGAAAATTCAAAAGTAAGTATTTTCACGCACGCCTTTTCTTATTTTGAAGGCACAGAGAGGGCTCGCGGGGGAGGGAAAGGGCACACTAACTGCCTCACGTCTCGATTGGTCCAGAGAACCTCAGTGTGGAGGCGGAAGTGGATTTACTCAGCTATTGTGCCAGAGAATGGAAAGGAGAGACGCCCCAAGCCAAGCTGATGAGGAAGGTGTGTCTGTTTATGAAGGTGGTGGAGGGTGAGACCGTGTGGGTAGAAATCGGGAAGCAAACACTTCCATTCTGCTCCGCTAAATCCCAGGATCAAGTAAGAGCAGACATACCCGCCAGGATCAGTGGTGGGTCCTGTGACCACGTTTTCAGCCCGGGGCCTCCCTGGTGACACAGGGGTTGAAGTTTCAGCACTATCAACTTACCACCAGCCACTGCAGCATGGTTTGATCCCCGGCCAGGGAGTGACCCACAGGGCGCAGCAGACCTCTCCTGTCTCCCCACTGCTCCCCTCAGCAGTGGATTTCAGTGGATCCAACTGTTCACTCCCCACTCTGTCTCCATTGAATCCTCTCACCCCCTGCACCTCTGGCCTGCACCCCCATTCCTGTATGCATAAGCAAATAAAATCTTTCCAAAAGAAAAGTCAGGTAGATTATTTAAAGTGCTCCTTAGCATGGTTTTTAAAACGTGGAGTATTCCCACTGGGGTCAAGAGGTTTGCTTCATTTCTCCACTGTGACATTCCCTGGCCGGGGCTCCCCAGCATCCATCGTCTAAAGCAGCGAGGCAGACGCCGATCACCCAGAGCAGGCCCACGCGTCGTCCCCGCTCTGTTTGGGGTGACCCTCCCGACATGCTCTTTCATTCTCTCGGCCAGTGGCATTTAAAAGACAACCTCCTCTTCCTTGCCGCAGGCCTACGAGGAGCTGTTCTGGCGGCGACGCATCAAGTGTGTCCGGCCGGTCAGGAGAGACCACTACGACGCACTGAGGTGTGTGCTGTTCCAGATCCTCAGCCAGGGCCTCGCCTACCCGTCCTGGATGAAGGAGAAGGACATCGTGAAGGTGCGTGGGGAAGGCCAGTAGACGCTCGGCCGGCCGGGGCCCTGCGCCCGGGGTGTCCTGGAGGCCCCACCCAGGCGGAGGAGCTTGGGAGATCTCGAGCCCACCCTGTGTCTCAGCTCCGCTTGCAAATAAACCACTTCGGGAAGATAATCATACCGGGGTCGGGCTGGCGGTTTCCCAGCTGGAGAAGGGCGCCTGGACCTCTAGAAAGGGCGTCTGCTGACCTGGACAGTGTTGGAGATTTGGCCAACGCTCGCAGCGTGTGTCTGCGCCCCAGAGAGTCCCCGGCCCCCTCAGACTCGGTCCTGTGTCCCCGGCAACCACAGACGTGTCGTCCATCCCTCTGGTTTGGCCCTTCCCAGAACGTCCTATACATGTCCATGGAAGGATCCGTCTGCCGTCCACCTGTGTCCTCCCGGGTACCTGCACTCCTCACTCCGCCCCCACTACAGTTGAACGGTCTCCTCGGTGGGAGTGGGTCACAGTTGCTTGTCCACTCAGGTGGTGTTCAGCCTTGACGACTGTGAAGGAAGATGTCCTGCTCACCCCCGTCCGGGATTTTGTGTGATAATCAGTTTTCCTTCCTTCTGGGTGGAGACGGGGCCCTGAGCTGGCTGGGTGCTACCGCAGGGCACTTTTCCAAAGAGGCTCTGCCATCTGGCCGTCCTGGCTGCAATGTGCAAATCCCAGTCCTCCTCCTCCCCCGCTCTGCCGGGTTTCTGTTAGGCGTGGGTCTGGGTTTGTGAGCCCTTCGAGTGAATGGGTGGGAATCACCCGACCAGTAACGACGGGCTTGTTGGCACCTGGGCCAGCTGCTTGGCGAGGAGGCTGGTCAGGTATTTTGCCTGTTCTCTGTTTTCTCTGGACTTGTTTTTTATTACTGATTGAGTTTTGAGGGTTTGCTGTGTAATCTGAACACTAGCACTTTACCAGTGTGTGATTTGCAGGTATTTTCTTCAGACTTGTGTCTTGTTTCTTGTTTTTTTCATCTAACCATGTAAGGTAGCCCACTCTGGATGATTTTTAGATGTAGGCTGTACTTATTTAAGGATGGAGGAGCAAACAATATAAAGCAGAGGGTTTATGTAGTTACAGGTGTTCTGCTTCTAAACATCTTGGCTGTGAGTTGGCTGTGAGTCCTTGCCAGGCGGCTGTTGCTGGGGATGGAGCAGAGCCCAGCTCAGTCCGGTGGGCAGACCCACGATGACAGATCAGGCTCTTACATACTCATTCCAGCACCCACTTATTGCCACGAGAGCCCTGAGAAGTGGCCAGCCACTGTCAGCCCTGATTTCCAGTGGAGGCTGAGGCCGACGGTTACATAATTGATGCTGATTTAGTCATTCTCAGCTGGTGAGCAGCAGAGCTCACTTGGAACCTCAAAGCACGTCGCTCTGAAATCCGCGTGCTCCTCAGGCACTGTGTTATCCTAACATTGTTTGGTTAACAGGTAATTTTTTTATACTGAATTTTTTTTTATTATGATAGTTTATTTTTGCATCACTTTGTACCTTTTTCTATCTCAGTTGTCATCCCTGTGGGCTTCCCATCACTAAATCACCCTGTGCCATCACCATAGTCCTGTGCACGCCCCCCATTTTTGATCCCATTCCCCACGCCACCCCCGCAAACAGGTCATTTTTACAGGGAGCTGGGGAAGTGTTTTATCCCTAAAGACTATTTCTATAGTCCTAACCCATTTAGGTTTTCATCGGTTGCAAAGTTGTGAGTTAAGAACTTGATCCAAATCACTTAACTCACAAATCTGACAAAAGACGAGTACATGCGTGTCCTTTAACTGCTGTCGTCTCTGGAAATGAAGAGGCTGCAGGAGATAAGATGATGCGTGGTCACATGTGTCGTACTGTGGGCGTGATGTTGAGATGCTAATCGTGTCCACCTCCACTTCCTTTTTAAGCTTCCTGAAAAGCTGCTCTTTTCACAAGGTTGCAATTGGATCCAGCACTACAGTTTTGGTCCTGAGAAATACACAGGCTCAAATGTGTTTGGAAAATTACGTAAATGCGTGGAGTTACTAAAGGCACAGGTGAGTGCTCAGTGGGCGAGGCCTGAAGGCCTGTAGCAGCTCCCCCCACCTTTGTCTTTGGTCAACTTCAAGAGACAAAGCTTGTGGCTTTGTTAGGTCAGCTGCCAAAACGCACAGACCTGCTTCTTCCAGAGGGAAACTGATGGTTTCCTTCCCTTGTTCTTTCTCCTGCTGAATAATAATGCAGGGTGTGGTTCTGCAGGAGAGCTAGCACCCTGCGGGGCTAAGGAGACCCTGGGCTGCCAGGACACCCGAAAAATACCTACCTTTGTCTTCCCGGACTGCACTGCGAGTCCCAGACAAGACACTGGCAGGTTAGGGACTTGGGTCACACAGGTGTAGGGTCTCAGAGTTTTTCTGCCTTAAAATAACGGCACAGTTTTGGATTATTGGAGGGAACCGCCCCTAGGAAATTCTGTGACCTTCCTGTGCCAGTTTTCTTCTCGGAACAGGATCGGCCCTGTGCGCTTGGGAAGTGAGTTCACACCCAGAGCGCGTTTCCACTGTGCCAGGCGTCTGTGTGCTTAAGAACACTAGCCGAGCGGGGAGGGGGCACAGCACCCGCACCTGCGCGACCCCCAGAAGCCTTACACTGCCCCCGGGACGTGTGCTCTTGATTCCACATTTTTTTCTTTTTTCCTGCACATTTTGGGCCAGAGGTTTGTCCCTTTTTTTCATTTTTGTCTGCCCCTAATCTGGGCCCTAGGGTAGGGCAAGCTCCGTTTCCACCCGTGTCCTGGGCTCCTGAACCCGGGGCGCCCCGCACAGACCTCGTGCTGACCGGCCCCTTCCTGGGACCTGACGCCCCAGCTCCCACGTCAGGGTTGAACAGGAAAACAGGGAGAAAGGGTTATAATGTCACAGCAGTGGTAGCACTCGGGTCAGCAAGCGTGGCTTCATCATGGTGCCGCAGGTGCACGCTGGGTGAGCAGCAGTGAGAGGCACAGTGTTGTAAGTTGAGCTCAAACATCCACGCCCGCCTGACAGCTGCTAACATGGAGAGAACCAAACTCAAACCATTTAGAAACAAACAGAGCTCTGGGGCGCGGCTCAGGCCCGAATCCCGTCTGTAGAACCCGACTATCTTACGCTGACTTTACCACTCAACCTATACTAGGTAGAATTTCTTGGAAAAAAAAAATTTAATTCAACTAGTTGGTTGTTGTAGACGTAGTAATTACTTAGGCTCAGGGCAAAAGTGAAAGTGTCAGAAACATGAGAAGCACAAGAAAATGAAAAGTCAAGTTCCCCTCCCCTCTGTAATGTTGCTGACTTGTTGCGCACTTGGGGGAGGCGGGCGACGGTCTCCTTTCAATTTCACTCCGCCTCTGTTTGTAGTGGACTGAGTTCAGTGGGATCAAAGACCATCACAAGAGAGGAGGCATGTGCAACATCCTTTTTTCCGATGCCATTCTGGAATATAAACTTTATGAAGCTTTAAAGTTCATCATGCTTTATCAAGTCACTGAGGTGTACGAACAAATGAAGACCAAGAAGCACATCCCCGGTCTCTTTCGACTCCTGTTTTCCCGGGAAACCTCGTCGGACCCCTTGAGCTTCATGATGAATCACCTGAACTGTATGGGTGACACCTGTGGGCTGGAGCAGGTAAAGGGGACGCAGAGTCGTGCGCGTTTGATCAAGGGCAAGACTCCGCTTTGAGCACACAGGCCCTAAGTCTTCTTTGGTGACCGGTGGCCACGCCAGCTGTGTGGGTGGGGAGGACAGGTCGCCCCCCAGGGCACATGGGGAGCGGGCCGCACCTCGCTGTTGGGGCTGGAGTGCACCTGCCCCGGCCGGGCGGACCTTTCTCGCTGCGTGGGTGGTAATAGTCTCCATCACGACACATTCACCAGGAGAAAGTGCATTTGGGATAACCTGGGAGGCATTTGGTCACCGCACTGTGATCAGTAGGAGATCAGTGAATTTTTTTTTTTAAAGATTTATTTATTTGTGCATACAGAACTGGGGTACAGGCCAGAGGCTCCGGGGCGGTGAGAGGCTTCACCAGAGACAGAGTGGGGAGCAGAACAGGCAGATCGATGAAGTACACTGCTGAGGGGAGCAGCAGGCGGGTCAGGAGAGGTCTGACGCGCCATGTGATCTCCGGGACAGGCGGGAATCGAACTCATGAGGAAGCAGCTTTAGATTCTCAGTGCTGTGCTTTGACCCGCTGCGCCACCAGGGAGGGCCCAGATCAGTGAATTTTTTAAATCCAAAAAGTGCTTTTCTGTTCCCATAGGAAGGATTTGGGTGGTCTGACTTTGCTTTCCTGGGAGGTTCCAAAGTGGCTGCAGCGAGTTTCCTAGTGCTGCGCCTCAACCGGTTGCGCCATCAGGGCAGGCCCTGTCTGTTTTTATTTTTTAATATAGGAAACACAGCAGTTTGCTGTGTGATGTCTTCACACAGGGCTATAGGCCCCCATGTCCCCACTTCCCATGTGGTGCCTGCCCTGGGCTCATGTGCTTCTCAGGCTGCAGGAGACACAGCCCAGCGGTGGGAGGGAGGCCCCTGGAAGCGTGTTTGTGACCCCTGTTTCATCTCTTCCCCAGATTGATATGTTTATACTTGGATACTCCCTTGAAGTAAAGATAAAAGTGTTCAGATTATTCAAGTTTAACTCCAGAGACTTTGAAGTCTGCTACCCAGAGGATCCGCTCAGGGAGTGGCCGGAGATCTCTCTGCTGACCGAAAATGACCGCCACTACCACGTTCCTGTCTTCTAAGGCGGGCCGGGCCAGGTGCTGGCTCTGGCCAGGGACATCTGTCATGCACACGCCAAGTGTTTCTCAAACAGCAGAGTCACAGGAGTTCGGACTCTGGGGACACCCGTGGGCTGGCGGGGCTGCCTGGGGGCTTCCTCTGGGCTCTGCGTCCCTCTAAGGAAGCTGGGCTGATACTTCCTGGGCTGGTGCCTCACCTTGCTCGTTGGGGCCCTGGTCACCCACACAGACTGTAAGAGCACAAGGAAGAAACGACACCAGGAAAAAAAGAAGAAAACCAGTGAGCGACTAACGTGGGGAAGCAGAATTGGCCTCAATGTTTATATTCCTCATTAAGCATCTTGTGTTTGCTGATTTGGGATCGTCATAAACCTGGCCTTAAGCATTACTTTTCTGGGATTCTGTACGATATAAGGAGCCCCTTGATGGACTTTAAAATCATGGGGTCATGTATTTGTAAAACACCGTGGTAGGCACACCGGCTCACAAGTAGTTTCACGCAGACACGTAACTACTTTGCCGTGTTGTACAATAGAGCTCTCTCGATTTTTGTTCCTGTTGTATCTGCCCATTTTAAGGTTTTGTATCACTAAATTAAGATAACTAGGTGGACAGTTACTCAACCAACAACCCCTAGTGTATTTCATGCGCATTTATTGTGTGGAATCTCATTGTGCTAGGTGCTGATTTCAAATGATAAAACTAGCTGTGCAGAATTACCACTTTGCCCTGCCTCCCAAAAGTGCCTGCATCCAAATCCCTAGAACCTGAGGCTGTGTTAGGCTAAAAGGAGGAGGCAGCAGTTGGAGTTAAGGGACTAGCTTGTTGACCGTGAAATAGGAGGAGTGCGTGGGGTTTCCCAGGTGGACCCCATATCATCACAGGGGTCCTTAAAAGTCAGAGGGGGTGGGAGGAGTGTGGACACCTGGGGAAATGTGAAAGTGCTGAGGGGTGGGGGCGGGATGGTCACAGATGCCAGGTTGCTAGCTTTTAAGAGGGGGAAGGGGCCCGGAGCCAAGGCGTGGGGGCAGCCTCTGGACTCAAGAAGAGCCCAGGAGTTGGATTCTCCCCTTGAGCCTCCAGAAAGGCAGGCGAGCCTCCCTCCCGGCGCCTGGATCTTGGCTCCGCGGCACTCTACCTCCGGAGCTAGAAGGTTTGTGTTCAGTGGCTAACTTTGTGCTCTGGCCCTATGTAGCAGTGTCAGGCTAGCTCCTTTTTGGCCATCTTTTTCTGGGAAATACTTTTCTAGTTTATTTTGGTAATCTTTTTTTTTGCAGGGAGGTGGTACTTTATTTCAATCACTACGACATAACGTTTTAAATCTCGCTCATGACGTTCAACTCCATTACAGTGCCTGCTAAGAGTGCCCAGACTCGGTGGATGCTAAACCTCGATCCCTAACTTTCCCACGTTGTGTTGCTTCTTCTGTAAATAAAAAGAAGTATGTTTCATGTTGTGGCGTGTGGAAGTAACACACCGGACTCTCTCATAGCAGGGAGAATCACCTCTAGGCACTTCTTGCGCCAGACATCCTCAGGCCTGTTACCCCCGCTCAGTCCCCACCCACCAGCCTGAGTGGCAAAATTATTTCCACATCGATTCAGGATCAGCAGGAGAAACTTTTGCAGAGGGACTAACAGCCTCTACTCTGTGATCACACACCACTGGGTCGGGCTGGGCAGTCAGGGCAAGAATTCTGTCAATAGAGAGAGGCCCAAGACCAAATTGTGAAAAGGACATTTCAATAGAATGAAAGTAGAAGTGGAAAGAAGACGTCAGCATAATTGCTATGTTTTGGGAAAGCGGCAAAGCAGAAGATTCTTAAGGAAGGAGGAACTTTGAATGGTGTTGGTTTGGTTTTTCAAAATGTAAAGAATATAACTAATTAGCCAGATGCATTGCATACAAATTAGCACCACTGTTTTGGGTTGGGCTTGGTCTTTCAGTATTTTATTTTTATTGAGGTAACAGTGGTTCACAACCCTTTGTGTGATTCACAATATGGGACCCCCACTTATCACTGCTGACTACTGTTTCTCTGCCTGAGTTTGAGTAAGGTAGACACCTCGGCTTCTCTTTGGAGCCGCTCAGTTCCCTTCTTTGTCTCAATGTCTGTTTTACCAGACATAAAGTTCGGTGGGTCCACACGGCACCATCACTTCTGTGTTGTTTGTTCCAAATAACTGAGTCTCCCTGAGTTCCCTTCGCTTTTCAAGCTGTCATACTCCTGTAGCCAAGAAAATGAGTACTTATCTGGATTGCACTTCTGCTGCATATCACATGGTTTATAAGTGATGGAAAAAAACACTCACATAGTTAACCACCCGGGCCTACATACTCTGGGGATGAGTCAGAAGTGGGTGCAGATGTCTGCCCTTGAAGGTCATAGAATGCACTTGAGGAAATGGGAACTCTGCTTGGAGCCAGTGTGGAGGAGGGGACCTTAGTATGTTCCTAGCTGGTGTCTCTGGGGGAAAAGACCATTCTGTTAAGACACCAGATTCCCATACAAAATTCATCCGGCTTTAAATGATGTGCGTTATTTTACTGCACAATCATGAGGCTTTGTTGTCATGATTCTTGGAAAGTTTAATCAAGAGAATTTACTACTATTAAAAAAAAATGCTCTAATGGCCCTCCCTGGTGGCGCAGCGGGTTAAAGCACAGCACTAAGAAGCTTAAGCCACTTCCGCATGAGTTCGATTCCCGCCTGCCCCGAGGAGATCCACATGGGTGGCAGACCTCTCCTGACCCGCCCGCTGCTCCCCTCAGCAGTGTGCTTCGTCCATCTGCCTGTTCTGCTCCCCGCTCTGTCTCTGGTGAAGCCTCTCACCCTCCGCATCTCTGGCCTGTACCACAGTTCTGTACGAATAAATAAATCTTTAAAAAAAAAATGCTCTAAGTATTTTAGATTCGGCCTGCTGAGCTGTAAATCCATTTCTGTACAAGTACTTTATCTAAATCAGCAGTGTGCTCTAAGAACATTCTTCACGTACAGAAGTGATTTTCCATTAAAATAGCCTAAGGCAAGAATATTTGCTTGTTCCTAAGAAAAGCCACGGCCGAACATCTAGATGGGGTCACGGAGGGCTCAGGGGTCAAAACTACATAGCAGCACAGCATTCTACAATTTGCTTTGCATCCCTGCAAGTTTGGCAAGGTGGCATGAGGGTGAACCCCGTAAGCTCACACGGTTTTATGGACAGTGTGTAACACGACCCCTCTGTCCGTTCCCTAAAAGCTTGCCATTCTCCTGGCCTCATTTGTTATCACTGTCCTCTCCAAAGACAAAATCTAAGCAAGAGCTGGGACCTGCTGAGCACCTGTCTAGTCTCAGCCCTGTCTGCTGCTCCACCTGAGAGCTTAGTGTAAAGGACCCCAGGATTAGGTGAAGAAAAGCAGCTGCTGCAAAAACCCAAAGAACCTTTGGAGTACTCTGGAAGTTTCTGTGTGATTCCGAGTAGACAACACTTAGGGCTTCCTTAACTGAAAAAGGAGCAGCCATGAGGTGATGCACGGTGAAAAGGACATTTGAGATAAAATATTGTCATTGTAGGTAAATAGGGGCCATAGCTCGCTGTTAGTGGAAGCTCTCCCTGGAGGTGCCGTGGGTTAAAGCACAGCACACAGCTGCTTCAGCGCAAGTTCAATCCCTGGCCAGGGAGGTGGCCCACATAGCACAACAGACCTCTCCTGGCCCGCCCGCTGCTCCCCTCAGCAGTGTACTTCGTCGATCTGCCTGTTCTGCTCCCCACTCTGTCTCTGGTGAAGCCTCTCACTGCCCCTGCCCCTCTGGCCTGTACCCCAGGGCTGTAGGCATAAATAAATAAAAAGAAACAAAGCTACCTTTAGGTATAAGTAAACATGCTGGATAGATGAAAAGATTAAAGGAAAAATGCAGCTCTGGCATATACGCCCCCTGTTGAAATCGTCACCCCCCCCCCCCCCCGGGTAGGGAGGGACACTCCCTTCCCCCGCCTGGCCTGTGTGTCCCCAGTGGTGATGCTGCCAGCTGTGAGGCCAGTTGCGTCAGCAGCTGCCTTTTCTGCCTGTCTTCAGAGGACCTGAAAAGCCGCTCTCTGGGCTGCACAGGAAAAGGATGCACCACTTGCTTCTGTATGTAGAGCAGGAAGTAGCGTGGCGTTTTCCCTCTGAACACTGGCAGACAGCACCTCTGAGAACAACGGGTGTGTGTTTGGCGTCTGCGCAGTCCTGTGCTCTCATCCAGCGCAACGGACATAGGCTACGGATGTTGAAACGCTCCTTCCCGACTCCTCTACCTGCTCTTGTTAAAAGGCCACACTTGGGTGGCTGAAATAGGAGTCCAGGCAACCATCAGTAGATGCTGACTTTTTTTTATCTGGCCTGGGGGCTTTGCCAGAGTGGGGTGGCGGGGGCAGCGTCTTTTGGCTACTGTCTGTCCCACCGAGGTTGCTGCTGGAATCCCACACTGCACTGTTGCTCAGGGTGCCTGTCTCAGGGGCCACTGGGGCAGGGCCCATCCTCCTCTTGATGGCCCTTGAGGGCTGGGAGGCCCAGCGCCCAGAGGAAGGGACGTCTTGACCAAAGAGGCTCAGTCTCCTGGCCAGGCCTGGCACCACGCCTCCCTCCCTAACTTGCAGAAAGTCCTGGGGGTCTCCGGTTGGCCATCACGTAATCCGCCTGCACGTGCTGTGGGTTCTTCGAGAAGTCTTAGAGGTTTTGACATTCCCTCAGCAGAAACCATAAGAGCCTCATTACCTCATTTTGACTTGTGTGCTGTGCCTCAGGGATGTCTTCCCCATCACATTTTCTTTCTGAACTGGAGTTCAAGCCTCCGCAGGTAGGGATGTGGACCTTACATCACCGTGACTCTAATATTGATCTATGTTTAATGCACCAATCTGCCAACTGTTAATATAATACCCATGAACACCGGTTGCAAGTTGACAGAAAGGCCAAACTCAGCTTTTCCTTCTCAGAGAAGCAAGGACTCTAACAGTGTGGTTTATTTGTCCAGAAATTTCTTCAGTTTACTCAAAAATGTTTTTATTGAAGTAACACTGATTCATAACATGTCGTAGGTTTCAGGCTTACAGCACTGTAGTTAGGGTCTATATACGCTTTATTATGATCCCACCAAAAGCTGGTTTCTACCCATGATCATAACTGACCCCCTTTTTCCTATTTGTGCAGTCCTTCCCCCTGTCCTGCTGGTGACCACTCTTTTCTCGTAATTTAAAATTTGTTTTGTTTTCAAACGTATTGGCCTCATATTTCATGAAATTTCTTTTCACTGCTCTTTTTTGTTTTGTTTTTAAAGATTTATTTATTTATTCATACAGAACTGGGGTACAGGCCAGAGATGCGGAGAGTGAGAGGCTTCACCAGAGACAGAGTGGGGAGCAGAATTGCCGAGGGGAGCAGCGGGCAGGTCAGGAGAGGTCTGCCGTGCCATGTGGTCACCTCCGGGGCAGGCAGGAATCGAACTCATGCGGAAGTGGCTTAAGCTACTTAGTGTAGCACTTTAACCCGCTGCGTCACCAGGGAGGGCCCTTCACTGCTTTTTTTATCAAAGCTTTTATGTGCGATCTGGGAGAGAGAAGCTCCCTGAAGTTCACAGCACCTTGACATAGGCATCAAGTCCACATGGGCTGTGGAGTGGCCCCAGAGGCCTCAAGTTCAACCCCAGCCTTGCTAATGTTACATTTCTAGGAGGCTAAGTCACTAGGGACACTGAGTTCACCCAGAAACAGGTTCTGAAACAAATATGGCTCATGAAGGAACGTTGGCTGTGGCCAGACTCCTAGGAGTGACCAGCACACGGAGGTGTCTGGAGCTATGTGACTGTCCATGGAAGGGCCCTGTCTAGCCCTGCCAAGGGGGGGATGGTCATGGAGTGTCAGGCTGTGTCCTAAACAGGAAGCTGGCTACGGGCAGCTTTTCTACAGCATTCAATATTTACCCTTTAGGTCTTGCTTGCAAGAAATATTTCCTCTTCTTTGTCTTTTTTTTTTTTAAGCCAAAACTTTGTCCTTGGATTAGTTTAGTCACATTGTTAGCCATTTAAAATAAAAGCGGTATCACCAACATGACTTGGTTTAGAAATAGGTTTAGTGACTTAACCATGTGCATTGCCAAGCCGTCTTCTCTGATAGCCACCCTACGGTCTGCCAAATTGCCCCACGTTTCTTTTTTACTCACTTCAATATCTAGAAAGCCGTAAATAAAATGTGACCCCCGAGAACAGCCACTGGGTTACTGCTTCCCAGGGTCTGGGCACTGTGCTGAGTCCCCTGGCCCCAGGCTGTATTTTGACCAATCAAATAGGCTGTAGAAGTCAGAAAAAGCATAAGGAAAACAAAACCTCATTACAGTAAATAAATCTAACCTGTGGTAGAGCTGTTGGGAATTCTGTGCAGAGGTTCCAGACAATCAGAGGTGACCTCCGTGCTTCTGCTTAATAATGGAGGAGCTAACTTCCACTGCCGGTAAGACAGTGCTACCTTTTTCCCAAAGTCAACAACAAATTAAGGAAGTCGTCATGGAACAGGGGGAAGTGGCCAATGCCAAATTCAGCCTTTGCAGCATGTCCTTCAAGGACGAGCGCCAGCATGCTTAGGAGCTAACCAGCTAGCTAGAGAAGCACTGGAAAACACCCAGGGTGCTGGCCTTTCGAAATGCTCAGTAGCTGCCTCAGCTTCTGTCAGTCCCAGCCCAAAGAAGGAGGTTGACAGTATGAGCAGGGGGAAATACGGGAGAGTAAGTATTGGGCTGTTAGCATGAGAATAGCCAGGACACCTCTGAGCCTCTCCTGCTGCAGGATATTCTGTGCTCCCAGAATAAAATAAATTGTTTGATATAAGCTTGTCCAAGAATTCAGTAACAGAAATACCTTTCACGTATGCTTACACTCACTTCACAAGTATTGCCTTAGTTCATCATAGATTATGCAATTATTCACAAATTTTAGATTAGGAATTAATAGGGGACAGCAATTTGTGGAAGATCTCATGGTGAGTGGCACAGAATAGCCGGTATCCAGGCAGCTTGTTTTATTGTATTTCGTTTTATTTCACTTCAAAACCCTGTGTTTATAAATTGAGGTTGCCTGCATCCAGCAAAGCTACCAGCACAATCTTCCCAGTCACATGTAATCATTCTATGTCTCTGTGTCTCATTCTGGTTACTCTCACCATAGTTCTTACTTTCTTATTATCTCTGTCATGGTGATCTGAGATCAGTGAGTTTTCATGTTCCTTTTGTAATTGTTTGGGCGTGCCATGAACTCTGACCATATAAGAAGGTAGATTTCATTGATAAATGTTGTGTGTGTTTTCACCGATCCAGTGACCATCTGTTGCCCCATCTGTTCCCTGCATCAAGCTTTCCTATTCTTTGAAGCACAATATTGAAATTAGTTCTATTATTAGCTATCCAATGGCCTCAAATTGTTCAAGTAAATTCTCACTTTAAATCAAAAGTTAAAGATGATTAAGCTCAGGAAGGCTTGTCAAAAGCTAAGCCTCTTGCACCAGTTACCCAAGATGTGAATGCAAAGGAAATGTTCTTGAAGGAAATTAAAAGTGCTGCTCCAGCGAACACATGAATGATGAGGAAGCACAACATCCTTA